CACTCTATACATTGCTTATGTGGTAAATGACTATTCTAGCTGCAAATGTCTGGTTTTTGGTGCAATGTTGTAATTGCTGCAAATGGAAGATTCTTTGACAAAAGCAAAGTTGGATGTAAAACAAATCTTATTTCAAATACAAATAATTATTTATAACCTTGTCAATGTCTTGACTCTATTTTCTATTCATTTCACAACGTATGGTGGTGAATAAGTGTGACTTTTCATGGAAAACATGAAACATGAAACCTTTGAGCGGTAGTGTATATGCATATATGAGGGCTTTCAAAATGATCGCGTAAAAAAAATGTATGCGTTTGACGCATGACCGAATGACCCGCCCATGCATCCCATAATAACACTTAGAATGCCGCGGACACATGCGAGTGTGAGATGGCCACAGAGCAGGTAGACCCTCTGGGAATCAAAGTTTTAAAATAATACGTGCGTGACCATGGGGCACTTGCTGCTGTTTAATATGAACTGAAGTCCGCATCCTCCGTGGCCGCAGCGTTCTGACCCAGGGCAGCTGCCACCGCTCTGGACATCGATTCCCACCTCCAGCGGCTGTGAGCCGCTAACAACGTACACGCACAGGACTATTCTCTTCCTGTTGTGTGCGTGTCTTTGTGTAGCCTGTGCAAGCAATAAATACACCGCTGAAGCTCGACTATGGAGCCTCAGGAAGTGTCCGTGTTTCCTCCTGAAACGCAACTAAACTTGCTAAATCAAAGCTAGGGTACATACATTTTCCCTTTCATTAACAGCTCATGTTGCTTGTGCCTAAACTAAAAGGTTGTGAGCAAATCAAACAGATTGAATGACCTTCTGCATTTCAGACTGTTTTGAAATTTCCCATTCTCATCCCTGTAACAAACAATAGTTTTGGTCTGAGTCTAAACAGAAAGGCAGAATGTGAATTATGTTAATGCCATTTTATGTGGATTTATTTTTGTTACAATAAACAAATACAGAACATAATGTACACAATGTTGTCATGTATCTTTCCATTCAAACAACCTTTTACGGAACAATATGGCATCATTTTGCCGTTAGTTTGAAATGCGATTAATTATATATGTATATATATATATATATATGAAGACCCAAAGTGTCGGTTGTGCAAAGAGGCACCTGAGACGATCCAACACATAACTGCAGGGTGCAAGATGCTGGCAGGGAAGGCCTACATGGAACGCCATAACCAAGTATGGGCTGGAAACCCCAAGGTCTAAGTGGGAAACTCCTCCAAAGGTGGTGGGAATGAGCGTGCGAAGATCCTGTGGGACTTCCAGATACAGACCGACCGAATGGTAATGGCAAACCAACCTGACATCGTGGTGGTAGACAAAGGGCAGAGGACAGCCGTGGTGGTGGACGTGGCAATTCCAAGCGATGGTAACATCCGGAAAAAGGAACATGAAAAGCTTGAGAAATACCAAGGTCTCAGAGAGGAGCTGGAGAGGGCCTGGAGGGTAAAGGTGACAGTAGTGCCCGTGGTGATCGGTGCACTCGGGGCAGTGACCCCGAAGCTAGAAGAGTGGTTACAGCGGATCCACGGAACAACCTCGGACATCTCGGTCCAGAAATGTGCAGTGCTAGGAACAGCAAAGATACTGCGCAGGACCCTCAAGCTCCCAGACCCGAGCTTAGAGAGGGATAACCGCCTGCAGAGGGCGAAAGGTGAGATTTTTTTTTTAAATATATATATACAGTAGTGGTATCACCAGTCTACTTTTCTTTTCATTTCTTACTGTGTTTTTTAATCTACTGACAAAAAAGTAGAAATGCTCATGGGCCTTTATTTCATTTTCCAGTTGTTTCAGTTCCTTCAGAATGAAGACTGAGAACGCATTTTATATGACCACATGCATCACAACAAAGACACCAATCCACTATGGGGTGCCGTTTGTAAAAATTCTGTTAAAATTTTTTAGCTGAACATTTTTCTACATTTAGCTCACTTTCCTCACATTTAGCACATTTTCCTCACATTTAAGACATATCTATATCTAAATGTTAAATGTTATATCTAAATATTATATCTATATCTAAATGTTAAATCTAAATGTTAAATCTAAATGTTAAATCTAAATGTTAAATCTAAATGTTAAATCTAAATGTTAAATCTAAATGTTATATCTATATCTAAATGTTATATCTATATCTAAATGTTATATCTATATCTAAATGTTATATCTATATCTAAATGTTAAATCTATATCTAAATGTTAAATCTAAATGTTAAATCTAAATGTTAAATCTAAATGTTAAAGGCACACCGTGTAACTCTTGGCCACTAGGGGCGCTAGACCTGCAACTTTCACGTTTAGCGCCCCTAGTGGCCACAAGCAACTCAGCACTGTCGCAAAAGTCAACAAACAGTCAGCCGGTGTCTTTTGAGTGTGTATTCAGACAGCATGCACTGGTGTGTGTGTTCAAACTGTAGAGACATGCCTACAGATATTGAGAGACTCTGCTGTGGTCAGCCTCCAGACCGCTGCATTAGTAATCTACCACACATGGACTTCTATATCCTGGATGAGGGAGTTCTGCGTCTAGCTCGTGCTGCGTGGAATGACATCTTTGCAGTCGATGACATCCAGGAACCAGGTGAAGAGCAGCGCTCATACAGACATGCAGCTTACAGCACGATCCCTTTCGCGTTTCCTCTTTTTAGCCTCCTCCGAAGGTTTAAATTTTTTCCTTGCCTCAGCCATGACCAGGAGTCGAGCAGGTGAAAAATGAGTAGCAAAAGCCTTAGCTCCATGAGTATATCAGCGCCTGTAGCCGTAAAGCAAGTCTTTCTTCCAAGTCACGTGACCTGGTGGCAGACGGTCCGTCTGCTCGAAACTTACATGGGCGGTATTTCAAGAGGGCAGCCCCGCTCGGAGCATTGCAAGTGTCAAGCGCTGTATATTGGCCCAAGTATTCATATAAAATAACTCATATGTGTCAACTCTTTAGGTCACAAAGTCCGCGGTGTGCCTTTAAATCTAAATGTTAAATCTAAATGTTAAATCTAAATGTGTCGCCAAGTGTAAAGCTAAATATATAGAAACCACGCCCACTGCAGTGGCTTCAAATCCAGTGGGCCCGCCTTCCGTGCTGTGTGGTGAGTGGGGGCGGTGCCGCGTGTTTTGAACATAGGAATACACGTGGACCGACGTCACGGCTCAAGGCATGTTGGGTCTCCGGCGCCATCGTCCTTGGCCACGGCACAAAATTAGCATTTTTGTGAAGATTCTTGCTTATTTGCTGGAGCCAGAGTGTATTCACTGTAAACTAAGCCACGTGGAGTCCCGTGAGATTCCTGTGTAATCCTGTAGGGTTCTCACCACACGGCACGGAAGGCGGGCCCACTGGATTTGAAGCCACTGCAGTGGGCGTGGTTTCTATATATTTAGCTTTACACTTGGCGACACATTTAGATTTAACATTTAGATTTAACATTTAGATTTAACATTTAGATTTAACATTTAGATTTAACATTTAGATTTAACATTTAGATATAGATATAATATTTAGATATAACATTTAATATTTAGATATAGATATAATATTTAGATATAGATATAACATTTAGATATAGATATAACATTTAGATTTAACATTTAGATTTAACATTTAGATTTAACATTTAGATTTAACATTTAGATTTAACATTTAGATATAGATATAATATTTAGATATAACATTTAATATTTAGATATAGATATAATAATATTAGATATAGATATAACATTTAGATATAGATATAACATTTAGATTTAACATTTAGATTTAACATTTAGATTTAACATTTAGATTTAACATTTAGATTTAACATTTAGATATAGATATAACATTTAGATATAGATATATAACATTTAGATATAGATATAATATTTAGATATAACATTTAACATTTAGATATAGATATAATATTTAGATATAGATATGTCTTAAATGTGAGGAAAATGTGCTAAATGTGAGGAAAGTGAGCTAAATGTAGAAAAATGTTCAGCTAAAAAATTTTAACAGAATTTTTACAAACGGCACCCCATAATCCACAGGTCTTAGCTAGTCCAAACAACAAAGACATGACGGAAGTTGCTCTCACCTTAAAGGCTTGATCTCTTGAATATTAAGTGTTGCGTTTATCCATTTTGTGAAAGCCTAATTCCACAGAATTATTCTGTTTTTATTGTAAATTATGTTTTTTAAATAAGGTGCTATATGAATATAAACAATATATGTAATATAGGGCTGGGCGATATAAACGGTATAAGCGGTATGCGATATACATTTGGCCCATGGTAGAGATTTTTGTTATACCGGCATATTGCAATAGGTCATTATGTCATCAAATTGCGCAGGCTCTGACGCCAGCAGAAAGGACCAAAACAAACCGGCATTCGGCAGCATTAGCCTAGCACTATTAGCCTAGCAGCGTTAGCCTAGCACATTAGCCTTGCACATTAGCCTAGCAGCATTAGCCTAGCACTATTAGCCTAGCAGACACCACTGGAAACAACGAACAACAGCACGGCATTAACACCGTGTTTCTGTCTATGTATTGTTGTCACAGCGGCCCCAGCAGAGGTAAATACACACACAGTAATCACAGTTTAAGCGTCTACCTTTTGGCCAATCAGTGTCAAAGGGGCGTAGGCTCTAACCGCCAGTGTGAGCCAAAATAGATCCATGCGTGTGCTGTGTCCGCAGCATCACAGCAGAAGTTTGCGAAAGTTAGCGTCAGATTTGGACCTCCGCGGTCAATATCTCACGAAAGCTAACTTTGTTAAACAAAATTAATTGTGCCAAAATGATCATTTACATCAATTGTTCAAATCTAATGTGCTGTTTTGATGCAGATAAATCGATAGAATCATCCAGTTCACTGCAAGCGCAGAGAAAAGCGCTTAGGGAGCGTCAACAAATGTCAAGACCAGCTTTGTAAACGAACAATAACTTTTACTTCCTCCCACTCGGGCCCCGACACCGATCCCTCCACACAGGCCCGGCACCTCTCCACTCCCGCCCCCCACCCCCCCCCACACACCCCCACGGCCCTGCCACCCATCTCTCCGATCGGGCCACATCCCACCCCACCCACGTCCTTCGGGGCCGAGCACCCCCCAGCCACCCTCCCCAGCTCCCTCCCCCCCCCCGGGGGCGAACCCCTCGTCCAACCCTCCCCCTCCACCCACCAGCTCACTCCTCCCCTCCACGCCCGCCCACCATACACCTACCCCACCCTCACGACCTAACGCGCCAACCGATCATCGGCCCGACCCCCACCACACGAATCCCCCCCTACTTCTACCCACTTCCCCCCAATCCCCCAGACCACCCAACACCACCTCCCTACCACCTCTCCCGCACCACACCAGAGCACCATCCCCACCCCTCCCCGCCAACCTCACCACCGCCCACACCAAAGCCGAAATCAGTCTCTGAGTCAAGCACTCGCCCCTACCATGCAAACACGTCGGCCCGGCAACAACCTAGGCACACGCAGGATGAGGAGCCCAACCAAAAAAAATCACTCTGGAAAAGCCAGGCCATACTCAAATGCAGGGGAGCGACAAAGATTCAAACAGCCTCGCCCCCTCCTAGTTATCGTCTTCCTTCTCTTCCCTCCTCCTCCTCCCCTTCTCCCTCTCCTTCCTCCTCCCCTCTCTTGACCGGCGGTCGAATAAGCAGAACGCACACCAAGGACACGGCTGGGGAGCACGAGTCCTCCCCAAGACGCACACATCAAGGAACCGCCCCTAGATCAACGTCTCGACCCCCCGCCCACCACCCCCCCCCCCAGCCATCCCCGGCCCCCCCCCCACGACCACCCTTGCGCGCCTAAACCCCACCGCCCTGCCAGCTCTGCAGCACACCGCCCTCACCATCAAACAACCCCCCACACGGCCCACCGAACTCCCACACCCTCAAGGATCACCCCACCCCAGCCCCCAAACCGCCACGCCCTCATCCCCCGCACCCCAACCCCAACCTCTAGTCCCCGACTCCCCCCACCACCGTCGTTCCCCCAACCCGCACTCTCCACCCCGACGGCACCCAGGCACCCACCACGCCCCTCAAACGCTCGCGCAAACTAAACGGCAGCCTAGCCACGTCCCCTCAATCAAGCCACTACCCCGAACCCAACATAGACACGCGGCCGCACTCCGCCGGCCACTTCCCCTGCACTCACGCCCTACCTTCCACCTCACGCACCCACCGCCGTCCCACTCAGTCTCCCAACTATCCGCCGCTCCTCTCTGAAAATCCGACCCCCAACAATCGGCCTCTCGCGACCTTCCACCTCAATCTGACCGAGAGCATAACTCCGCCGACCTCTTCCCCCCTCCCACTCATATCGTTCCACCCGCCCAATCAATCCGGCCCAACCCACCCCCGATCCAGCCAACCCCCCGACCCCTCCAAGCCACCCCTCCACCCCGCCACCAACGCACGAGACCCACCCCGCCCCCCCCCTCATGGCCACTCCCCCCCAGACCCCACCCCAGCCCTCTCCATCCCAACCCCAACCCCCCCGGACCCCCCCCCCCTCCCACATTCTCACCCATGGCAGAAGACGCACTCCTCTCATCGCTACCCTCCCGACCCCCCGAATCCCCCCCGCCCAACCCCGACCCCCCCGGCCAGTCGAATTCTCTTCCTCACACCATTCTCCGTCTCCGGGCGGCCAACGAGCCACCAGTCACACCTACCCCCACCACTTCTGCATCATCTCACCCCCACCCGCCCCCACCCTGCTCATAACGCCCTCCCCCAGCCCCCCTCCAACCGCCCCCGCCCACCTTCCCCGGCCAGTCGCACCCTCGCTCCGCTCCGTCGCCTCCCACAGCCGCCCCGCACCCCATATACACCCTCGAACTACAGCGGGACTCCACACGCCCCAAGCAGCTCCCCGACACGACCCAACCCGACCCCAGGAGCCTCACACACCTCGCTCGACACATCACCGCCCGCACCCCCTGACTCCCCGCCTCAACCACCCCCAACCCGCCGGCCCCCCCCCACCCGCAAACACTCCCACGGCCTCACACCACACGCCCCGTCTCCACGCACCCCCGCCTCACCTTCCCCTCCCACCTGCCGCATATCCCCACGCCCCCGACCGCCAACCCAGGCCACCCCGGCGGCCCCCCGCCCATCCAACAGGATCAACGACACTTCCCCGGGCCCCGCACCCCATGTCAGCCCACAACCACCCTACCGGACCCCACGACCCACTCGCGCCCTCCCGACAGCCTCCCCAACCTCTCCATCCACACCCCAACTTTCACGCTCCCGAAACCCCACCACCACCAATCCCCCGACCCCCCCCACGCTCCCCGTCCCCCCACCCACCACCCCCACCCACCCTCTTCTCCAGCCCCACCCCCCCCCACCCCCCCGCGCATCTCCCCTTCTCCCCTCCCCCCCCCCCCCCACCACCCCCCACGCAAGACCCCGCACGGCATCCCCTAGGCTCCCCGCCACTCGCCCGCCCCGCTCCCCCACCACGGCACAGCCCCCCCGGCCACTCCGACCCGCACACCCACCCCCTCCCCCGCCCCCCCCCCGGGCACACGGAAACCTCTACACACCCCAAACACTTCCACCCCGACACAGGCTCCCCCGCCCCAACACGTCACCCCCTCCGGCCCCCCATCGCGCCCCACCATCCCTATACCGGCCACCGCCATCTCCCCCACACCCCCTCCCCCACCCGCCCCCCCCCACGCCGTACCCCACAACATCTTAGGACCCGCCCCCCCCGATCATTCTCACCCCCCCCCCACCAGCCGCAACACGCCGCACTCCGCTCACCCCCCGGCCCTCCCCCCCCCACCTCTCACCCCCCCCCCCCCGAGGCCCCCAATAGCCCCCCCTGCTCCCCACCCCCCCCCCACCCCCTCCACCCCTCCCCAACCATAGCTTCCTTCCTCCCATAATGAGCGACCACGGCGCCCCAAACCCCGAGGCTCACCAGGACCCACCAAGTTTTACTATGCGTCTCTCCCCCCTCGCACCCCCGCTCCACCGCCAGCGCATCTCCCCCCGTACCCCCACAACGCCCCCGTCGAAAACCCCCATCCGTCTCCGAGCAACCTCCCAAATCAACTTCTCCCACCCTCCCCAGGACCCCTCCCCGCTCTCATACACCAAATCACCCTCAACCTCGCACTGCCTCACCCAGCTTTCTCCCAAATCCTACATCCCCCAGGCCCGCCCCACCCCCCCGACTACCCCCCCACAACCCGCCAGCCCTTCCTCCCACCCCAAGCCGCTTCTTTCTCTCAGCCCCCGCCCCCCGATTCTCTCCGCATCCCAAGCACCTATCCCCTACACTCACACCCAGGCAACCTCCCGGGACATCGATCTCGAACCTACTCTGCTCCGCCAGATCGACCCGACGAACAATCCCTCGCGCCCCCCCCACCCCCAGCTCGTCCCACACCTCCGCCCCTTCACCGCCCCCACCATCCAAGACGGCCCCCTTTCTCGAAACTCTCTCCATTTCTTTAGACACTATGTTTTTGATCCTGGCAATGTTTTTTAGATGGTAAAAAGCCCTGCTGATGTTACTGATTTGATGTGGCTATTAAAATTTAAGTCTGAGTCCAGTATTACCCCTAGATTTCTGACCTTGTGTGCACTTCGAACAAATGCACACTTTGTAGAGGTGTGTAGGGTGCAGTGTGGGTATTGGGACTGGGCCCCGTCCCAATACCCACACTGCACCCTACGCCCTCCTATGAAGTGTGCATTTGTTTGAAGTGCGCGCAAGGGTTTGAGTACGCAGGTTGCAAGCGTGCACAAAAGGCGGAATTGGGACAGTGCACACTGAGTGCAGGTTACGTCATCGACTCGTCAAGAGATGGTCATTTTCAGACCTAAACTTTTTTTAAATGAAAGGTAATTTTGTCTGACCCTTTGGGAAACAAATTGAATTGCTTCACACACGTTAAAATACATGTATATTAGTGGTTTTTAATTAGAGATAGCTGTATAATTTTAAGTTAAATGTGGGTAACTAACTATCTGGTCAGTTTTTATACATTCTAAGATTATTGTACTAAGTGTAAAGTTTAAATAGAATGTTATATGAACTCTTGCTTTAAAAAGTTATTAAATTGTTAAAACACAATGTCCGTAATTCTTCATCAGACGTTTATGCTTCTTTCCAAGTAACATAGCAAAACTTATTTACATACATACTGCACATATATTTCAAAATGTATATTTAAATGCATTTTCCCGACGTTTTGGTGTGTACCGCAAAGAATTATGGGCAATATCCTTCGCCAGAGTGCGCATAGATGCAGGCTACGGCGAAGTGTGGATCAGGGGCGCAAAGGGGGCGGGGCCAAAGACCTCCCTGGAGGATTGGGACACCCTACGCACTCGCACCCTTTATCGGGAACGCGCAAATGAGGGGCGCGAGGGTGGAAGTGCGAGTATTGGGACGGGGCCTCAGAGGAGTACAGAGGCCCAGTCCCAATACCCACACTGCACCCTACACACCTCTACGAAGTGTGCATTTGTTCAAAGTGCACACCAGGGTTGGAGTGCGCAGGTTACACGTGTGCAAAAAATTACAAATTGCATTGGAAAAGAATTAAACCAGATATCGAGAAAATCAGGGCCATCATAGGGCTTTCCAGTCCCACTAATATATCTGAGCTGAGACAGAGGATTGGGATGATAAATTATTTGGGAAAGTTCCTTCCAGATCTTTCCACATTAATGCATCCTATAACCTCACTACTGAAAAGTGATACGGCTTGGACATGGGGCGCGGCTCAAGAGGATGCCTTCAAAAGGGTAAAAGGCATGCTGACCACAGCACCAGTCTTGGCATATTATGATGTCACAAAGCCAACTGTAGTAAGTGCGGATGCCAGTAGTTATGGCCTTGGTGGCGCACTTCTGCAAGAGCACAGTGGGGAACTCCGCCCAGTGGCTTACTGTTCAAGGACATTGACAGAGACAGAACGCAGGTACTCCCAGATAGAAAAAGAATGCCTCGCTAGTGTGTGGGCCTGTGAGCGTTTTGGGAGATATTTGCAAGGTATGGAAAGTTTTGTGTTACAAACGGATCACAAGCCACTTGTTCCACTGATAAACACATATGACTTGGATAAAGCTCCAGTTAGGTGTCAGAGGCTCTTGTCATGTCCCAGGGAAGCAGCTCATTGTGGCGGACACTTTGTCTCGCAACCCCCTGCAGGACAAGGTGTCAGACACTGAAAATGACATAAAAGCATACATACGATCAGTGTTGGAAACAAGGCCAGTCACTGCAGATAGATTAGATTCAATCAGAGAGGCCACAAGTAATGATGATGTTTTACAAGCTGTGATTCGCTATACATGCGAAGGCTGGCCCTCAAATGTGTCACGGTTGTCACACAACCTGCTCAAGTTTCACACAGCAAGAGCTCACCTGTCAGAGGTTGGAGGTCTCTTAATGCATGATGACCGCATTGTCATTCCTTCTTCAATGCAAAAGTCTGTTCTATCACAGATACACGTGGGTCATCAAGGTCTCCCAAAGTGCCGTAAAAGGGCTAACATGTCTGTGTGGTGGCCCGGCGTTGGGAGAGACATTGTAAAGCTTGTGAGTACATGCGAGTTTTGTATTAAAAACAAACCCACTCAAAGAAAGGAGCCCCTTAAAACTACTCCACTGCCAAAGGGTGCTTGGCAAAAGATAGCAGTTGACTTGTGTGAGCAAAATGGTAAACAGTATTTAGTAGCGACAGATTATTATTCACGTTACATTGAGATTTCTTATTTGCCTACAACAAGTAGTAACCAGGTAATTACTAGCTTTTGAGCTATAGAGCGACGCCTATCACTGCAACAGGTCACAGTCCAGCTCAATTAATGCTTGGACGAGAGATCAGGACCACAGTGCCAGTGGTACCACAAAAGCTATGCCCTACTGCTGTTGATAAACGAATGGTTAGACTAAAAGATCAACAGGCCAAGTCAGCTGGTCAAAGTGTTGCTGTTAAACTGGATAGGGAGACGGGCTGGAAAACATCGGCAAAAGTCATTGCAAAAGCGCCAGAGCCCAGATCCTACATTGTCAGAACTGAACATGGGACTGTAGCTCGCAGAAACAGGAGGCATTTACAAGAAGTGCCTGAGCCAGCAGCTGAGCTGACTGCAACAGAGACTAGTGACTGTGAAATGATTCCAGAGGATACAGGTGTGCTGCCTGCTGCCACCAGCGCATCGGTGCCCTGTGTTCCCACTAATTTAGGGGCATCCCCAAAGAGGACCTCTGCTGGTCGAGTTGTTAGGCCGCCGGTGAGGTTCAAAGACTATGTGTGAGATTTGAAAAATCGGGTTTTTGGGTTCTATAACAGTACAGATGGTTGTTTGGTTATTCATTTTTGAAATACATTTTTACAACAGTTTTATTGTTTTGTAACTGTGGAACTACTTAATATACACAGCTAAACGATAGCAAATGTTAATTATTTTTGTTATATAAATGAAAAAAAAAAGTATTGTTGTTTGAGGAGAAAACTGCTAAAGAGGGGAGATGTGATGTTATGTAAATGTGATCCACTTTATGCTCCACTAGGGGGCAATGTTGTAGTGCCTTTGACAAGCCAGGGGGGGAGTTGGCACGTGTTGAGTTTGGCATATAGAAGGATAATGCACGCTGTTATTTTGTTGGAGCATCTCTGTTATTAAAAGAGACTCAAAGCAACTACCATGAGTCCGTGATTTCATGACAAAGATTATGTACCTGACCACGGTTTTAGGAATCCCGGAGGACCACCAGAGGGCGGTGCAGCGTTATTATAATAGATCCATGAATACAACGGCTGCAGTATGTCCAAAATGCTGGAGCCCGAGTCTGGGTCCTTTCTAGAACCAGGAAGTATGACCAAATTAGTCCAGTCCTCAGGTCTTTGTGATACAGGTTGTGAGGTGCTTTGTGTTGCCTTGTGTAGGAAAGACGCTATATAAATAAAAAGTAGATTTATTTAGTTTAGTTTATTTATTTTAGATGACAGGAACAGTGTCCAATAAACTTTAACCTCAAAGGGAAAGATGCATTGTACCAGGTTATCTCAAGAGCTAATTTCCACCCGTAGTCCCTGGGCAGGCATTACATTCAAAATAACAGACATTCATGGATGTACGGTTTACGTTTGGTCAAAATACAAGCCTTAACGTGCACAATTGATTGATGGATGGAATTTGGATGACAGTATTTTTGCAAATTAAGGGGAAATAATTGTCAGTTATAGTTTTATAGTGACAGTTTAGTCCCAGAGCCATGACTAAACCTTGTTTTTCAGATGGTTTCGACGAGTATTCACCCGATTTATTTTTATGTATATTTTTTTTTGCCAGAGTATTTTTACTTTAAAGTCGAAATATAATGAGAATAAAGCAGAAGTCGCAACATTGTGAGATTAATTTTGTAAAATGATGTGAGCTGGCACTCTGTCTAATAAAAGTGCTTTTCCACCAACACTCCACAAGGGCGCGCTCTGTCTCCAATTCTGTGTATCCTCTACACCAGCCATTCCCAAACTCAGTAACACCGAGGCCCCCTTAAAAATCTAACGGGTCTGCGTGGCCCCCCAAAATAATAACCAAGAAGACAACATTAAGAATAGGCTCTTCTGGTTATTTTATTTTGGGGAAATAGCCTCTGCTACAAACATTGTAATACAAAAATGATTACAGTGGATTATTCAAGTCAAATAATGAACACAAATATTTTAATATTACAAACAAAACATTATAAATTTAACATTAAATAATTATATATATATATTTTTTTTTTATGACCTCCCGCGGCCCCCCTGCAGTACCCTCGCGGCCCACCAGGGGGCCGCGGACCCCACTTTGGGAGACACTGCTCTACACCAGTGTTTTTCAACCTTTTTTGAGCCAAGGCACACTTTTTTCACTGAAAAAATCTTGCGGCACACCTCCAGGAGAAAATGTAAAAATGTATACAGTACTAATGTAAAAAAATATATACTGTACATACTCTGTGTGATATATAAAGTATATCTTATCTTATAATGTATACAGTATACTCTGTAGCCTATATTCACAATATACAGTTATTCTCATCAAAATGCTTAAGTCCAGGCCTTGAAATTAAGCTTTATTTAATATTTCTCGATACAATTAATAAGAGTTTGGGAATAAAGTGGCACTAACTGTGTGGAAAAAAACTAAGAAAATCCACTCTCTGCCCAAATAGTCAAATAATAACTCACACAAAGAACATGCATTGTTAGTGCATGGGAAACATTTTGGTATCCGAGCTTTAAATTCAGGAGTTTTGGATGAGGGACACGGGAGGTCCTGAACGCGAGTCCATGGTTCTGTCCGGTCCGCATGTCTGTGGTTCTGTCCACTCGACTATGGTCTGCGCTCGGTACCCAGTTCAGAAGTGCGTTCGCGAGAGCTGTTGTACAAAAATCGTACATTTCATAGTTAAACCACTACAACGCGGCCACAGCTACCCCGGGGCAGAGCGGAGGATGTTAATCCTGTTCAGAAACGGCATAATTCATTTTCAAAAACGTCTCTATCACTTTCACTTCTCACTCGCCACAAAGCTCTTGTCTCGCTCCCTCACACATTTGTTGGTCGCATCCAATTTTACCTTTCTCGCCACAATGCTGACCTGTTACAGCCAGTGGTCGCATCCAATTTTTCAGTTTCAAAGTACTTAGCTATCTGCTGCCATCTACTGATTTGAAAAAGTATTACATGGTTACTCACAGTTCAAAACAAGTCACCGCTCGTCAACAGCGAATGCAGCTATTTTTAGACAAAGTAGACGAATTTCTCACGGCACACCAGACAATATCATACGGCACACTAGTGTGCCGCGGCACAGTGGTTGAAAAACACTGCCTTAGAGTAACCACTTCTGATTTTGAGTTGGACCGCTATCATTTCGCCCAGAATAACGATGTCTAAGCCAACGAAGAGAGACCGAGAACGAGAGGAGGCGGCTAACATTAGCGCATTTACCACGGTGCTAACTGATAAGCTAGCCGAGACAAAAGCGGAGTTACTGGCGGAGATTAAAGACACTTATTCCAAATACGAGACGAAGCTGAACGCTGTCCAGGCCACTGTTGACGACCATGCCACACGCATTTCTGGTTTGGAACGGTCTGCAGACGATACTACCACTGATGTTACGGATGTCCAGGCTAAGCTATCTGAGCTGGTCGGTGACAATGCTAAGCTCAAGGCTAAAGTAATGGATCTTGAAAGCAGGAGTCGTCGTAACAACATCAGAATCGTCGGGCTACCGGAGGATGTTGAGGGCGTCAAGCCAACAGCCTTTTTCTCCCAACTACTTGTTGATGTGCTTGGTGCTGATACTCTTCCGTCACCCCCGAGGCTGGATAGGGCGCATCGCCCGCTAGCTGCTAAGCCAGGGCCCCAGGGTCGACCACGGGCTGTCGTGATATGCTTCCACCACTTCGAAACACGGGAGCTGGTTGTGCGAGCGTCCCGGAAACTACGAGGCAAGCTAAAGTATAAGGACTCTGCCATCCACATATTTGAGGATTATATTCCGGAGGTTATGGAGCAACGCAACCGGTACAGAGACGTCATGAAGTCACTCTACGAGCTGGGATGCAGACCTGCTTTGAGGTACCCTGCTAAGCTATTTGTTGTGCTTGAGGACGGCTCGAAGAAACATCTCTCCTCCGTGAAAGAAGCCACTGACTTTATCTCTCGTCGTCAAAGAGCTGCAGAACGTGAGACTGAATAGTTGTATTCTATTTTTTGTGGTTATTGCTACTTCATGGCGGCGTGCTGTGATTTAAGTCCCATGTTTCATAGTTTTGTACAAGTTATTGTTCTTTGTTTTAGTATTTTTTGTAATGTTTAACTTTTTGGTCTTTTTGGTTGGATATTTTTCCTACATGCTGTTTCTGGACCCTTGTTATTTGAACATGTTTATTTGTGATAGAAATGAGGACTATAAGTTACTTAAATACGGTTTTCTTTTATGTTGCTTTAAACAAATATTTCTACTACCTCAGTTCATATACTTATTCCCAAGTGTGTTTGTTTTTATTTATTTATTATTATTATTATTTTTTATTTTTTTTATTTAAACAACAAAACATTGGACTGAGAAGTGTTTGCTTTTCTTATTCTCTGACCCTTACTGTGAGTTTTTTTTTGGGGTGGGGAACTGGTGCTCTTTGAAGGAATGGAAGCTTTACAGAATGGTGTTTTATCACCTTTGTGCAATGGACACGCAATTTCATACGTTTGGGCGGAAGTTTGGGCCACTGGGTGTGTTGGGGTGTATGTGTATGTATGTGTGTGAGTATGTTTGCAATCATTTATTTTTTGTTTCTCTTTCTCCAGGTCAGTTTTTTTAAATTGGTTTCCCTCTCTCCCTTACAACAGTCGACTACACGTCGGCCTCTCTGTGTTTTCCCAGGTTTCCAATTTTTCATTACATCTGAGCCTTGTTAATGGTAACTGAGGTATGACTTCCACTAATTTACTAAGATTGATATCTTGGAATGTGAAGGGGGTGGGGACTGCAACTAAACTGGGGCGGGTAATGTCTCATTTGAATCGACTTAAAGGTGATATATATTTTATTCAGGAATCCCATATGCTTAACAGTGAGGTTGTACGTTTTAAGAAACCTTGGGTTGGGGAAGTTTTTCACTCTACATTTAACGGCAGAGCAAGAGGCGCAGCTATAATTATTCGCAAGGGTCTTCCCTTTATAGCGGATAAAACTGTTTTTGATCCAAACGGTAGATTTTCAATGGTTTCTGGGAGGATTTTGGAGTTGCCTTTTTTATTTGTCTGTGTATATGGCCCTAATTGGGATGATAGTTCTTTTATAACAAAACTTTTTTCGTCTTTTCCTGATATTCAAAATTATTACATTGTTATGGGTGGTGACTTTAACCTTGTTCAGGACCCTGCGCTTGATCGATCCTCGAACACCTCAGTTTCTCTTACAAAAGCAGCAAGGACCTTGCTCACCTTTACCCAACAATGTGGTCTTGTTGACCCTTGGAGGCATGGATCTCCAGGAACCAAAACATTTTCATTTTTCTCCCACGTGCATCGCACATACTCCCGAATTGATTTCTTCTAACTGGATATGAGACTAATTTCTAAAGTAAACTCTTCTGACTATCACAGCATTGCAATATCGGATCATGCTCCAGTTTCCCTTGACTTGTCCCTTCCTCTCCATTTTAGTCGCCCCAGACGGTGGAGGTTTAATTCTGTATTTTTAGCAGAAGATGCCTATTTTGAATTCTTGCAATCACAGATTGCTTTGTTTTTGGAATTGAATGACCTTCAGGATACTCGTCGAAGCAGTCTATGGGAGGCCTCCAAAGCTTACATTCGAGGTCAACTTATTTCTTTTATTTCTAATAAGAGGAAAACTGATTCTGCTCGTACTGACGCTCTTTTGGACAGTATTAAAGACATTGACCAGCGTTATGCTGCCAATCCGGACCCTGATCTTTATAAGGAACGCCTTTCCCTTCAAACGGAGTTTGATCTAATCTCCACTACTGAGACCAGAACTTTGTTACTGAGGTCTAGGCAGCGTTTCTATGAGTCGGGTGACAAGGCTGGAAAGCTCCTTTCGCACCAAGCGCGCGCAGAGGCGTCCTCGAGACTTATCCCGGCTATAAAATCATCTTCGGGTGAAACTCTTACGGACTTGAAAGATATAAATAATATGTTTGTGGAATTTTATTCCTCCCTTTACGCTTCGGACTCTCCACACAGTGCTGATGTTATTCTGGATGCTATACATTTTCCTCGTATTCAGGAAGAGTCTGCAGAATCACTTGGTGCACCCGTTACAATTACAGAGGTACAGGAGGCGATTGGCTCTCTTCAGGGTGGAAAGTCCCCTGGGCCTGATGGTTTCACAGCTGACTATTATAAGGCCTTCTCTACCCAGCTTAGTCCCCACTTGAAGGACATGTACAATGAGGCTTTTTCCTTTGGTCATCTTCCAGACACACTTTCTGAGGCCACAATCTCCCTGCTTCTTAAAAAGGACAAAGATCCTTTGCTTTGTAGTAGTTATAGACCCATTTCACTCCTGAATGTTGATTTTAAAATTTTGTCAAAAATTCTTGCTTCACGTTTACAGAAAATTCTACCATCCATCATTGACTTGGACCAAACTGGATTCATGTCAGGCAGGCAATCGTCATGCAACACAAGACGTCTTTTTAATATCATTACCTCTCCTAGTTCTTTGGTGCCAGAAGTCGTTGTCTCTCTCGACGCTGAAAAAGCCTTCGACAGGGTCGAATGGTGTTTTTTGTACAATGTGTTGTCCAGGTTTGGATGTGGAGTAGCTTTTATCAACTGGGTGAAACTTCTTTACTCCTCTCCAAAAGCCTCAGTCCGTACCAATGATATACTTTCCTCACAATTCCCTTTACATCGTGGCACTAGACAGGGTTGTCCTCTTTCCCCCTTATTATTTATTTTGGTAATTGAACCACTGGCTCTCTGGCTGCGTTCGGAGGAAGCTTTTAAAGGAATAACCAGACTAGACTCTGTTCACAAGGTCTCATTGTATGCAGATGACCTCCTCCTCTATGTTTCCGATCCTTTAAAGTCGTTCCCGGTAATCCTTAACATTTTACAAGAATACGGCAGTGTATCTGGTTACAAACTTAATTATCAGAAAAGCGAGCTTTTGCCGATTAATGATCTTTCTAAGGCTCTCTCTCCTTCCTCAATGCCATTTCGGTGGTCAAGCAGCAGCTTTCGATACTTGGGTATTCATGTCACCCAATCTCTCTATCCTTTATAGTGAAAACCTTGTACCTTTGATGGATAGGACTGAGAGGGATTTTGTCCGCTGGTCTTGTTTACCTATATCACTTGCAGGTCGTATTAGCCTCGTTAAAATGGTGGTTCTGCCTAGGTATTTATACCTATTCCAACACCTCCCCGTCTTCCTTAATAAGTCTTTTTTTGACAAACTGGACAGTGCTATTTCAAAGTTTCTTTGGGCTGGAAAACCTGTACGAATACGCAAGTCCATTCTACAGTTCCCCAAAGACAGGGGTGGATTTGCCCTCCCAAATTTCAGATACTACTATTGGGCTGCAAATATCCAGAAGCTTTTGTTCTGGATGACAAAAGATGATGATTCTGCTCCAAGCTGGGTTAAATTGGAGAAAAAGTCTTCTCAGTTTTCTTTGCGCTCAATTCTATGTTCACAACTCCCGTTGCCGCGTTTAACTATCTGCCCAGTTGTATCCATATCTTTAAAGATTTGGAGCCAAGTGAGGAAACAGCTTGGCCTTTCAACTTCCACCGCCTTAACCTCTGTATTTAGGAATTGTGCATTTGAACCATCCAAGTTGGATCATGCCTTTAAAATATGGCATAATAGTGGAATTTGGTCGCTGAATGACTTGTATGTTGATGGTATATTTTCATCATTTGAACAGCTTTCTGTCAAATATAAACTCCCAAGGCATCATCTTTTCCGATTTTTTCAAGTTTGGGATTTTGTTAAAAAACTTTTTCCTCACTTTCCAAACCGACCCCCAGAAACTCTTCTTGACTCTCTTCTTTCCGTGTCTCCATTTATTAAAGGATGTATTTCAGTTCTGTATAGGTCAATTTGGTCCACCACTTCTACATCTCTCAATGCAATCAAAAATGCATGGGAAGATAGCCTTAATTTGACAATAACTGAACAGGAGTGGAATTCAGCCCTTTCTCTTGTCCACTTATCATCTATCTGTGCGCGGCACAGACTTCTTCAATGCAAGGTAATATTTCAGGTACACTATACTCCTGCTAGATTGGCCCACATTTATCCCTCTGCCAGCGCTGCTTGTGGCAGGTGCCAATTTTCTCCGGCCAATCATGTGCATATGTTTTGGGCATGTTCAAAGTTGGATGCATTTTGGGCACACATTTTTGACATACTGTCTAGGGCATATGGTCATCTAGTTGCCCCTAATCCTGCTACTGCCATTTTTGGGGTCCTTACTGTCTCAAATTTGCCTAATTTAATGAAGCGGGTATTTGCATTTACCACCTTGCTGGCCCGAAGGCTGATTTTACTCAACTGGAAGCTTCCCCGTCCCCCTTCACATTGTCGTTGGGTTCGAGAAGTCCTGTACAATTTGAAGCTTGAGAAGTTGAGGTTCTCACTAAGGGGCTCAGTTAAAACATTTTATGAAACCTGGGATCCTTTTATTAAGTTTATTAATTCTACGACGTTTCCTCATGACCTGGAGGAGGATTAAATTGCAACAGGGGGAGTAAGTTTTTATTTTGCTTATTCACTTCCTATTTTTCCCCTTTGTGTTTGTATATGAGTGTGTGAGTGTGTCTGTGTTCTTATTGTATTTATTTATTTTTTTGTATTTTTTTGTTTGTTGTATTTTTATTTTTATTCTTTGGCCCGGGTGGGGGGTGGGGGGAGGGTGGGGTTGACCATTCGGCAATATTATCTATTTTCTTCTTCACCCTTTTACTAAAAGCTGTATGTCTATTATTGTTAAAATGTTCAATAAATAAAGTTGAGAAAAAAAAAAAAAAAAAAAAAAGTATGAGGCCACTTTATATGAAGGTCAAACCATTGAGCATTTGCAATCTAATAAATATCTTGGGACCATCATTGACAATCATCTGAGTTTTGCTGAGAATATTCAAGTTTTGCAACAACATAGTTTGAGAAAATGTTAACATCATCATGCTTTTAGTTAAGATAAACCTTTACATGTCCCT